CCCCTCAGGAGGAGCGGAGAAGATCAGATACCCAAGCCTCACCCAGGGTTTCTACCCAACTCAGAGTTAGAAGAAGGAAGATGGACTTTGGAGCTGAAAAATCCAGTTCAGAATATTGGTTAGGCCACCTCATAATGGTATGTGCTAGGCAAGTTATAAACTCTCCAAGGCCCAGTTGTTCTGCCAGGAAAATTAGTGTAAAACATCTACCACACAGGGCTGCCGGGAACAATTAGAGCTGAACAGCAACCCCTAATGGCTGACCCATCTGAGTACTAAATAAACGGCAGCACAGATTCAATATCCCTTATCCAAAATGTGTGCGGTCAGAGTCTGAATTTCAGATGTTGCAATTTTTCAGATCCTGGAATATTTGCATATACATAATGAGGTATCTTGGAGATGGGACCCAAGTCTAGTCACAAAATTCATTTCTGTTTCACACACCCCTTACACATAGCCTGGACACAATTTTATACAACAGTTGTGTATGGTACCATTTTGACTATGACCAATCATGAAGTCGGTGTAGAAAAATTTTGCGCTTGTGGCATCATGTCAATGTTCAAAGAGTCTGGGATTTTAGATCACTTCAGGCTACAGGTTTCCAGACTAGGAATGCCCAACCTGTGTTATCATTTGAAGAAAGGGAGACAAGCCAGGTGAGATGAGTGTAGTTTAGGGAGGGGAAGATTTCTAAACCTTATCTCTTCGTTCCAGTAGACCTCATGCCATCCAACAACCAGATTAGGAGGCCCAGATGCACTCATGCTGTCTCTGTCCAACTAGAGGTGTTACTCCAGTCTTTTGGAGGAAGGAAGCAGGGAGCCCCGATTTAGAGACTGCTTGCTAGCCTCATGCTGTTTGGTGGGTTTTTCTACAGTCTGAAGGAGAAGTTCATTGTTGTGGTAAGGGTCTTCACATCATTGGAAAATTTAATCAAATTCCCACTCATGGCTGTAGTTTGAGGGATTCTTGAAGTACAAATTTAAAGACTAAAGTGGAGGAGGGAGTAAAGAGAACAAGAATTACCAGTTGGAACTGGCATTCTTCACGGATGGTGCATTTGAGTTATTGGCGTTTAATCATAAACCCATCATCTGGAAATGCAAAATCCATTGATGTTCAGGAGCTTGGCATTTTTCAGCTGACCCACTCCCTGCCAAATGAGATCTCACTTGCTTGAATGAGGCAAACAGGGAAACCAAGGTCATTTCCAGGGGCCTCCCTGGGTCATTTCTCATCACCTTGCAAGCCAGTGTTCTTTCTGTGTCTCTCTGCCTCTGCTTCTGTCTCCCCCCCCCCTTCCTTTCACACACACACACACACACACACACACACACACACACACACACACACGCACGCACACAGCCCTCCATGAGAAAGAAAAAAGCAATCGAAAAATAAAGTGGAGGAGGGAGTAAAGAGAACAAGAATTACCAGTTGGAACTGGCATTCTTCACGGATGGTGCATTTGAGTTATTGGCGTTTAATCATAAACCCATCATCTGGAAATGCAAAATCCATTGATGTTCAGGAGCTTGGCATTTTTCAGCTGACCCACTCCCTGCCAAATGAGATCTCACTTGCTTGAATGAGGCAAACAGGGAAACCAAGGTCATTTCCAGGGGCCTCCCTGGGTCATTTCTCATCACCTTGCAAGCCAGTGTTCTTTCTGTGTCTCTCTGCCTCTGCTTCTGTCTCCCCCCCCCCTTCCTTTCACACACACACACACACACACACACACACACACACATGCACGCACACAGTCCTCCATGGGAATGATAAAAGCAATGGCTAAAGCAAAGTGACAAACAGCCTTCCCACAGCAAAAGGCTCATTGGCCTGGAAGGAATCTCAGACATCACGTCCCCTATCTGTCTGATAAGATTTCATCTAAAATCTTTCCCAGCTGAGTGGAGATCAGGCCAGTCCAAAAGATCACTATGAAGTCGATCCCCACGAATTCATTCATCCATCCCAACAACAGGTATTTATTAAGTGCCAATAATAATGATACTAAAAGCCTGCAATAATTTACCCCCAATAGGGCAGAAAGCATAACGGTGAACAGAGCAGGCAAGGCATACAGAGCTAAAGGCCTTCTATAGGAGGAAGTTTTAAATAAACAACTACAAACAGAAGTATGGAGTTTAACCACTAGCAAAAGCTGTAAGAAGTTCAGGGTGTATAACCTGGAGATCTGACTTCACAGGCTAGAGAACACCTTGGTTTGTTCAAAGAACTAAATGAAGGCCAGGATACTAGAGCCAGGAGAGCAGGATTCTAGCCAGGTAGGCAGAGGGTGGGCCATGCCTGCCTCACCAAGCATAGACAGAACTTGGTTCTTTATCTTAAGATCAACAGGAGGCTATCCATGGAATTAAACCTTAAAATAAGGCAGAGAGCCGAGAGCTAGTTTATATCCACTTCACCAGAGCATGGGCCTCTGGCATCCAGGGCTGCATACTCAGACCCTTTTAAACCTAAACAGTGTCACGGAGAGATAACATTCCACATGCAACCCCCCACACCAGCCAGCCACATGCTCAGAGGCTGTTGACGAGCTGCAGCCATTTGAATCTGACACATTTATTCAGTTTTCTCAACCCCAACTCTCATCTGACCCTTTGTGGGTAACTGGAGAGAGGCAAGAAGTCAAAATAAGACAGAGTTAAATAACCCAAATATGAGGCAAAATATTACAGATGCTCCAAGAGAGGTGCTGGAAATGCAGCTGAGGTGGAAAGGTATAGAACCTAGACCCGGGGTTCACACTGTGACTGTGTCACTTACTAGCCATGTGACCTTCAGCAAGTCGCCTCTGTGTAGCCGTTATTTTGATGACCTCAGAATGAGTTTTATGCATTAAAAGGATTATTGAGAAGTTTATCTTGTATTTTTAGGTTAATAGTCAATTTATTAAAGTTGCAAATTTAAAAACCATATTTCCTCCCTGGGCTTTCCATTCAGTTTGCAAATGTTATTTTTCTAATTAGAAGTGGAGAAAATGTTAACCATAGCTTTGTGCTTGGAGTTTACTTATTTCTTCCACGAGATAAACAGAAAAAGAAAACGATAGAGAGGCAGCATCCTAACAGGGTCTCAGGGCCACAGTCCACCCCCTTGCTCAGTCCATCCCTCGTCATGGACAGGCAGACCTCAGGGAGGTCTCCAGGAGAGACCCCCAAACATTTCTACATGGGTCAGCCCTGCACTGCATTGCACTGTATGCCACACTACTGTCCGGCCCCATAACCATAACTTTTTAAAGTCATTTTTTAAAAAGTCCTTTAAGCATTCTTTCCTTGTTCGCATTGTTTCCAACAAGAGATCTGCTGTTTGCCTGACGGGATATCCTTTGTAAGTAACTTGCCATTTTTCTCTTGCCAATTTTAGCATCTTGTCTTTGCCTATGGTTTTGGCCAATGGGAAAATATATTGAAAGTGTTAAGGGAAAAGCAATTTCATCCAAGAATATTGTACCCTGCAAGATGGGAAGAAAAGACAAGAACATTCTCAGATAAACAAAACCTGAAAGAATTTACCAACACCAGACCAGATCACCAAGAAGTTCTCAAGGGAGTGCTATACCAGGAAAATTAAATACAGTCAGAAATAAGAATTCAAAAACTAAGAAAACGGCCAACTTAATTATAGGGACAAGTCTGATGAGACAGAACTGGTGAAACAGCATTTTATGACTTTTGACTAAAACATTGCTGATTTTCTTCTAGGCTTTGTTGTCCAGTTTTAAGGATTTTTGTCCTGTCTTGAGCTGTCGATAGGTTCATGTACCTACTATTTGAGCAGAATCCCAACCTGTTTCCTGGCTTTAAGTTTTAAGCAAAGTTCCTTAGCATTTCTATGATTTCCTAAAGTTAAAACTGCTTTTCTGGAAATGAAAACATATATTAAAAAATACCTATCTAATGATCACAGTAAGCTATATAGCACCAGCTAGGTGCTACCTTACAGTATGTTCATTCCACCCAGAGTTTCACACCTATCTCACTGATACGTACATACCAGCTGAACTTGCTATTGAAAGTCGTTAGATCATTTAAGAAATTGTGTGAATCAATACAACGTGGGGGAAAAGGAATGGAAAACAACTGTAAACACCAGAGATAGTGTGGGAGGAGGGTGGGAAATGGCAGAAGGTCAGAAATAGGGGTAAATAAATATATATATATATATATATATATATACATATATACACACACACATACATACATATATAGCCAGCGAGGGCAACTGGATTCCCACATAACTGACTGCAGTCCAGTCAGACTTGGTGGCCTGCCTCTGACATTTTCTGTCTCTCTCTCTGGTGAACACACATGCATTATAGCAAACTTTAAATAATACTACTAATAAATACAGTTAAATTCAAAACATCCTTTAACGAATGCTTGTTACATTTGCAAAGTTAAGTACCTAAATTCCTTCAAATAGTTTAAACTGCATTTACCAATTCGATTTCACTTTAAAGACTTCGATTGTCTGGTCAACAAATGTTCTTGAATACTTAATCTAATAAGTTATGCTTATATATATGATTGACATAAACTTCCACTTAAAGTTGTATCTCAATCATTTTCCAATTTTATATTTTATGTTAGAATAACAAAAATATCATTTTAATAGAATGAGTTTTCAAAAGTATTATAAGCATATTGAAATACAAAATATAGCCTGACAATGAAAAATAAACATAATTTGTAGTATGGTTTTGAGCATTTCAAACATGTGTATATGTAATCTAAGATTTCCAGGAAATGAAATATGCTTACCCAGTAAAAAAGATAATCATCATCCATCTTAACTGAAATTGCCTTGCAAAGAGCTGTTTGCTGACATAAGATCTGGAGATTTAGGCTTCCTGGGTGATGCCTTTTAACTCAGAATTCTGGGATTACTAATTATCAGAGATTTGGGGGGGGGGGCATTGTGACACTCTGCATTCCACGTGTTCTAGTATGTCAGTGATTCTGAAACTGGAAAGGAGGCTCAGGCATCGGTAGTTTGGCAACATCGCAATAACATGCAGCTCGAACAATAGTGAACTTATCTGGAAGATCACAGGTTCTGTTCCCCAGTTACCCTGTCCATGCCTGCTGTGTGTTCTATACCCACTCTCTGACTCGTGAGAAGGCAGGCTGATGAGCAGGTGAGCAGGAGTGAGCAGGGGTGGCACATCTTGGTGTGAGACCCCCGCTGGGTACTTGTGTGTCTTTCTCTCCCTCTCTTTCTCATACAATAAAGAAAAGGGGGAGGGAGCTTGGTCACATCTCAGAACTCAAATTAAGCATAACCTCTGTTCGTGCAGTCTACCCACAGATTAGACATCTTAGACAAGCTTTAACCCAGCCTGATCTCGATGAGATAGGCATGTCCCATCCAGCTAATGTTGCGGACTTTTGAATGAAACAGAATCTGAAGATATGTGACTTTTCTGAGTCTGACTCAAATGGTCTTTGTGCCCGATGGAGTCCTGCCTTCTTTGCTTACTGAATTTTAGACCTCTCACGTGACCTTGACTAGGAGCCACGCTTCATGATGTCGATCTGCTCACAGCCTTTGCCTCCGGTCTCTGTGGCCCTATTCTTAGTATCATGGAGTTGTTGAGAACTGAATGAAAAAATGTACATGAAAGGCACTTGTGCATCGTAAAACATCCTACCAGTATCAACTCTGGTGAAATCTAAAGCACCGAACTGGCATTCAGGTAGGTGGGTGGGTAGATAGATTATAGATGGATGAGACGGGAGAGAATGTGACCTGAATGCTCCCTGAGAACATGTGTAAATGAGTGATTACTTCCAACTGAGCCTTCAAGGAAAGCTTCACAGAAAATTGGCGTTTAGATGGACCTTGACGAATGGGTAGCATTTTAACAGACTGGCAAAAATGATGGGAAACCAGCGAAAGCTCCTTTGGAAATATTTACAGAAGGCGTTTTACAGAAGCTAGCCATGAATCTCAGGAGTCAGGGATTCTCATGGTATGCAATATTCCTCCATCCCTTACCTTTCTGACCTTCCTACACTTCTCATTGCCTATGTTTATTTTTTTCTTTTAATTTTGATAAAGGGCATGTGTGCTCACCTGAGAGACAGAGTGGGAAACTAAGAAGGCCACCCTCTCCCCCAGAAAGGATGGCCATTCCACAATCCCTTCTGTTTCTCTTCTCGGGATTTGGGGCATGCCACCAGATCCAGCACTTGAATCATACAGTTGGCCATGTTTGATCCAGCTCTCTTAATCACCACACCACCAAATAGACCCAGCTCCCACATGTTAATAGGGTTTAGTTTCCTGTCTATATTACCTAGGACTCCTCCTACCATGTAGAAAGCACTGCTGGAGAGGTGAGGGAGCCCAGTGCTCTCTCCTGCATAGACTGACATCGTCCACACTTAGCTCTGTCCAGAGGAGGGCTTCCCACGACCTCAGATATATACTGACCAGCCACTGAGGTGCAGCGGTATCTCAATGCTTCATGGTACTAAATCACAAAGGTCCCAGGTTTGTATCCCAAGGTCTCCCTGGTGTGTATGGGCACATACATGCCAGGCACATGTATGTGCCCATGGCCCTGGCATGGCTGTAGGTGGATTACAGCAGGAAGACCTTGCTGGAGGTGTCTGTCTATTTCTGTTTCTCTCTCTGCTTCTTTCTCTTTCATGGAAAAAAAAATGAGTAATCTTTGAAAAAAGCCTTCTTCTGAGCAATAAACTAACAAAATTCACATGCAAGTCATACTAGCTAAAGGACGAGAGGGAGTAATACAAGACATTACTGTAAAGGTATGATGACAATTTGGGGTATACTCAAACTCCAATATGGATGATTCAGGTATCCATAATAGTTCTATTTCTTAAGACTTACAGCAAATTTAAATGTATTATGTATGTATATATGTTTGTGTGTGTGTGTTGTTCATAGGTCTAGTGACATCCAATTGTCCATATTCCAGAGAAGCAAAAAAATGACTGCTTGGGAGCTCCGTGTACCCTGCAGAGTCCAAAGCCACTAGCCTCTCCTGTACAGTGATGAGGCAGGGAGTTCCATTGTGTCATCAGGAAGACATGACATAGTTTTTTTTTTCCTACTCAAAAATGCATCATAACTTTCCCAACCACCCAATATATACATATTTGCCAATTTTTTAAAATATTATGTATGTTAAGTATTTATATCCAATGAAGTTATCCTTTTAATAATCAAAAATACAATGCAATACAATTATACCATTTAAAGATTGATTTCAGGGGACTAGCAGTTAGCGTAATGGCTACGTCGCTGGACTCCCATGTAGTCGACCACAGTACGCGTCCCGGACCCGGTGGCTTAAAACTCACGCTGGGCGCGTGTGCATGTGTGCCCAAGATCCCAAGAGGAGAATGGAGGAGAAGGGATTGTGGCATGGCCATCCCCCCTGGGGGGTGATTTCTTGCTTTCTGTCTCTCTGTCTGGCAAGCGCATGCGCCCTATAGCAAAAAAAAAAAAAATGATTGATGTCAGGATTTATGTAATGTGTTAATTCATAGCATCCTGTAGGCTTTGCGGTTCAGTGGTAGCACGTAGATTACGTAGGTTTAAAGATGGATTCTGAACACCTTCCTCTTTCCATCCCGTCTGTGCATTTCTAGATCATATCAAAAGCCTAGCTTTAAAAGTTTGCAGGCTCTGCGAGAGTTAAAATCAAATGACCTCTCTGGCTCCCAAGGTCCCACTAACTCTGATAGGCCATAAGCAAGACTTTTGCAGGTCAACAATTGACAAAGGGAAGATACTAATTTATACTGCAGTTGTTGTTCATAGGTCTAGTGACATCCAATTGTCCATATTCCAGAGAAGCCAAGAAATGACTGCTTGGGAGCTCCATGTACCCTGCAGAGTCCAGAGCCACTAGGAGGCTCTCCTGTAGAGTGATGAGGCAGGGAGTTCCATCATGCTGGGGGGTTCCTAACAGCCCCCTTCAGTTTGCCTGCCTTGGGGACAGACACCTCACTGTCAGCCATTCGCGTGCAAAGGCAGAGGGCCTCCTCTCCTGTTCTGAAGACAAGCTTTCCGCTAAACCCTTTGCTGTCCACATCACCTCTTATTCCTACTGCTTCGATTGTTGGAACTTTCCTGATTTTTGCTCAAGTTCTGGAGGAAAACTTGAGCTGCTCCTCAGTTGAAGCATCTGGGCTATAGTTTCCTCCCCCTTAGTACACTCCGTCTGCCTACACCTCTCAGAAATGTGCGCTCTCTGTCCGTCATGCACATTGCCAGAGTCCATCATCTCTGCCTTCTCATTGCTCAGGAGCTCAAATATCACCTCCTCAGAAAGTTCTGCTTTTCAACAGAGCCTGTCCTCCCCAGCCTCTGCCCCCTCGCCCTGCCTTCTATGCTCCACACCTCACTTATTCACAGATCGTCTTCATCACTTTACCAGAATTCAGATTCCAGGAGAGCACGAATCTTGTCTGTCAGGTTCTGCCTTGCGTCATCAGACTTTAGACACCTAGTATATAGTAGGTAGTCAATAAATATTGGTTATGTGAATAAAGCCACTCATTTATTCATTCCACAAATATTCATCAAAAGTGTATTAAGTACCAGGAATCATGCCTATATAGAATTTCACCCATCCATGAGAAAGGTCCTCCTGCATCTCTATCACTTTCTGCCTTCATTGCCCTACTCTCCCTGTCAATCACACACACACACCTGCCCCCCACACTCAGAGATGCTGGTTCTGCCTCCTTGTGGCTGATACAAAGAGAAAGAAAAAAAAAAAAAAAAAAAAACACAAGGAAGGGGTAACCCTGTTGTTCATAGCCAGCTGCCATCCAGAGCAGACCCTGGCAGCTGGACAGACAAGGGAAGCTGAGTGTGTTCCAGACCCGGCCTAGAAAATAGCCAGCTGTAATAAAAGCCACGGTCCAATGAGCAATTAGAGAAGGAGGCCCAGGTGTCACCAGCGAGGGTGGTTCTTATTTACAAGAACACATGGATCCTGGCAGGGACACAATCTTTCCCCTTGGCCTTGATTATCACAGTAAACAGGCCTGACCAAAAGCTTTCCTCCAGACACTTGCAGCTGGCTGGAAAATGAGTGTGATAGTAAACACATGTTGCTTCATTTGTGACCTGACAAATCAGATTACCTGAGTCAGACACACACAGGGGCTGTATGGGGAGGCAGTCTGGAAATGAAGCCTTCTCAATGTACAACTGGTTTGTTGAGGTTGTTTGTTGGGGGTCTAAAATTACTCAGCATGCCATGCGGTCACGTGGCACAGAATATCTTTTCTTTCATTGTCCCCTGTTCCAAAGGCGCTAATGCCAGCCTTGCTCCTAGTCAAGGAGTCCAAACATTATCATTCAAAGGCTGTATTTACTAACTAAGCGGGATGGCCATAAAACCGATGACCTTGCTGCTTCTGGAATCTCATAAAAAGTTTCCAAGCAGCTCCTCCCCAGAGCAAATAAGGGTGTTGCAGTTGCTAGTCCCCTGGCAGGGTTCCAGCTGGGGCTATTACATTCCTCCCTCGTAAACTTTCCTCTGAGGCTCCAAATACAGACTTGTCTGCTTGTCAGGGCACTTAACTCTGGAGGTACTGCTGTGGTTGGAGAATTTAAACCCCAAGGGAGGGCTGACATGGGAAAGGAGGGAATGGTGAGAGAGGCAGCATTGATTAAGAGACTATCACAAGTCAGGCACTGTGCAAGGATGTTTATTATTTTTCTCATTCAAGCTTGTAACTTCTTCACAGGCCTTCCATGGAGGGTTTGACCCTGGTGCCCTTGTCCTGAGGGCCAAAAGACACATGCCAGCTAAGTCTGGCACTGTTACTGAGGGCACCACAGATATTGCTTATTAAGAGTGTGTGTGTGTGTGTGTGTGTGTGTGTGTCCCAGAGGTCTTCGCAGTGGAGATGTCAGGAAATAGGGATGAAGCCAATGAGAGGCGATGGGACCTGTGTATGGGTAGGGCTTCCAGAAACTGGATGTGTAACTGCTAAGTGAGACTGAGCTCACCTGTGTCCTTGGCCTGACCCTCCTCTTTACCTTATGATCAAAAGGATCAAAATTGGTAAGAACAAAAAAAAAAAAAACGTAGACAGCCTGGGATGCGGAGCCAGGGATGGCATCATGGAGATGTCCCCTCAACCCCAATCTGTGTGTGCTCAGGCTTCTCATGACCATGAGAAAAGAGACCCCTTCCTTTTTGGCGTAGATGATCCTAAGGTGTTTTCCAGGATTCCCACCTCTGGTGCCAGGTCTGTGTGGGCTCCATAGCCCTTGAATGTGGGTGAGTTCTAACCAACAGAGTCAGGCAAAGGAACTGGAACATCACTCCTGTGACTACCGTGGAAGGCTTTGTCTGCCCGGTATTCTGACTCCAGAGTCTCCTGATGACTTGATGAAGTAAGCAGCCTTGTTGGAATAGTTCACCTGGCAAGGAACTGTGGGTATCTTCTAGGAACTGTGAGCAACCTTTAGGAACTGAAAATGACCTCCAACCAGCAGCAGGCCATGGCTCTCAGTCCTACAATTGCAGGGAAATACATTCTCCCAGCAACAAAACATGCCCGGAAGTGGGTTCTTCCCTAGCCGAGCCTCCAGATGCGGACACGGTCCAGCCAACAAATTCATTACAGTCTTGCGAGACCCTGAGCAGCCTCAGACTCTCAATTCACAGAAAATCCGAGATAATCAATGCATGTGGTTTCGATCACTACATTTGTGGCCAGTTTTTACACCAGTGTAAATCACCAGTGCACTCCTTTATAGCTCTCTGCTAAACCTCTAAGGAGACGTCCCCAATGTGTTAAGGGATGGGAACGGGATCCTCAGAGAAGGTAGAAGATTGGGGATTCTTAGCAAATGAAAAAGAAATCTGAGGTCTTCGATTTTTCTCCACATAGAAGAACAGAGTATCCTCATTTAAAAGGCTTTTAGCTACTGATTGTTCAGCTGCTTCACAAAATATCACAGATGATTACAGATGAGAAAAAAAAATGTTCAAAATTAGCCTTTGGGATGAGTCTTTGATGCAAGGCAGGAGAGCAGTCTATGTGTTCCCCCTCCTGAGGTTTTCCTTTTGGAAACAGTTTTGCAACCTGAAGATAAGGAAGTGAGTGGCACCCCTTGCACGCTCACCATGTGCCAGCCCTTCACTTGGCTTTGTCTCTTGAAGGCTCACAGCTACCCTGCAAGGGAGGGAAGATTTTCACTCCCACGTGGCAGATGAGAAAACAGATTCAGAGAGGTCGTGGCCGACCAGGAGAGGGCAGCGTTTGAAAGCAGGCAGTCTGGCTCCACACCCAGGTACTGACACTGCCGCCCAGTCTGGAAAGCAGACGAAAATTGCAATAAGAAAAGGGAGGGAGTCTTTTCTGGACGCCGAACACCTGGAAACAACCACACATAACTTTTCGATCTATCTCCTAAAACATGGAGACTAGGGTCAATACACAAAGTGTGCGCTGCCTCTGCTTTCTCAGCTGAGCTGCTCAAAGTGCTTTCTCAGGGTATTCACGGTCCCTTGGAGGCATGGGCTTCTGGCATTCTGTGCTCTAAGTGGGCCAAAATTTACCAAGACTGTCCCCTAAACCAGACAAGTTTGGCTATTTTCCATTTAGAGCTGTTACAAATAAAATATTTAGCATCTTTGTGTTTGTAGTTTTCTCCACATGCTGAGTTGCCCTATTGGGGAAAATCATTCCCCACGTGGTGTGACCGAAACAGAAAGGACAAGGTCACTTAAGGCTACTGACACTCGTGCCCTGGTTGGCCGCTGCTCCCAGATGCCACCAAGAGGCTTTGGCGACAAGAGAAGGAAGGCCTGTACCTCTTGAAAAGGAGCGGCCCCTCCCATGCACATTTCTTCAGAAGTGACATGAAGGCCTATGTAGAAGTCTGGACTTTCATTACCATGTGGAATCCCACACTTCTTCCAGAAGCTGGAAAATACAGCCTAATATTTCATGAACTTCCCCCTCACTGTGGCCTCGGCCTTTTATCGGTTCTGAAATAAGCAGCAGGACCTGAAGCTGCCTTCTGGGATGAGCAGATCTCTGCCTTCGCCCAGGCTCTGGTTCTCCGTGTCCCCTGCCATGTTCTCCATCCTCCCCAGGTACTCAAAGGACAAAAAAGTCTCTAACACTACAGGTACAATATATGCTTTGTTTTGATCTAAAATAACCGAAACAAGTAAATTTTTATTCTTGCGGCCAGATTACCCAGGAAAACCAATTCTCATTCCATCTGCTACAGATCTGTTCTAAATGGGGTGATGGAGCCAGATATTAGCATGAAGAGGGACCTCAGGACACCTGGTGATCCAAAGAGCTAACCTGTGCTGTACGCCAGGCGCTGAGCTAAATGCTTCACGTAGAGCGTCTCCTTTAACCTGTCAGTCAGACTCAGTCACACAGCTGTCTGCCTCTGCCACTCAGGCCAAGAGAGATCTTAAGACCACTGAGGTCTTAAACCTGCCTCTAGGGCCTGAAGGACTACTGCAGGGGCAGCTGCTGTCCCAGAAGGGAAAGCCAGAGAGGAAGGCTTCTACCCACCCACTCTTCTTCCAGCCCTGTGGCAGGCAGACCACGGACCTTGTAGAGGCAAAGGGATTCCTCTCTGAGCTGAAAATCACTGACAATAGGCAGATTAATAAGAAAAAAGGGGGACCAGCAGTTAGCATAATGGCTATGTCGCTGGACTCCCATGTAGTCAACCGCGGTTCACGTTCTGGACCAGGTGGCTTAAAACTCACGCTGGGCACGTGTGCGTGAGTGCCCAAGATCCCAAGAGAATGGAGAAAGGACTGCGGCGTGGCCATCCCCCCTGGGGGGTGATTTCTCGCTTTCTGTTTCTCTGTCTTTCTCTGTCTGTGTGGCGAGCGCATGCGCCCTATAGCAAAAACCTCTAAAAATAAAATAAAATAAAAAATAAGAAAAAAGGCATAGGAATTTATTTTAATATATACATGTACACGTGGGAGCCTCATGCAACATGACTCTAAGAGGAACTTGGTGACTGCAGGTTTTATACTAGACACGCTTTAACTTAAGCTACAGAAGCAGGAGGGGAGAAACTGCAAAGGTGAGATTATCCTGCTTTTCTGGGCCAGGTGTCAGACCTCTGAGGTCCTTCCCATGTCTAGGGAGCTAAAAAGTAACTTGGTTGCTTACTTTGCTAATGTCAATAGATGTAAATTTCTTTCATAAAAGGTTAGCTTTAAAATAATAATAATAATAAAAATGTTGCACTATCCTGCAGTTGAGGAAGTCAGATCCCGCATGGCCAATGGTGGTTCGAATCCTGGGCCCAGTGGCTGGGAAAGCACTCTGGATATGTAAGCATGCATGCGCTAAGTCCCAATAAATTGGAGAAATGGAGGAGAAGGGGTTGTGGCTTGCCCGTGCTTCATTGGGTGGTCCTCTCTTTCTCTCTCTTTCCTCTCATCTTGATCTTTCTAGTGAGCACATGTGCCCTCTGGTGTTTATAAATAAATTAATTTTAAAAATATTTTTTAACTTAATTCTTGTGGCCAACAGGTGGTGTGATAATTACGGTGCCAGACTCCCACATGGCCAACCAGTGTGAGTACCAGACCTGGCAGCTTGCTTTCTCTCTCTCTCTCTCTGGTGAGCACATGTGCCCTATAGCAAATTAAAAACTAATAATAATAAATTAAAATAATTCTTTAGTAAAAGTTAATCCTTGGGTCTGCAGACCATTTGAATAGCATCTCAGAATCTGCCAAAGATGCATATTTTGGGGTGGTTTATTTTTACTTCCTATAGCCCCAAACCCTAAAACCTGTGCTGTTGTTTTTCATGGCAAAAGGACTCTGCAGCTGTGATGACATTAAGGGCCTCGTGAAGAGGCGAGTACCCAGAATTATCCAGGTGACCTCAATCTAGCCACACGGTCCTTGAACGTGAAGACCCTTTCCCAGCTCTGGTCAAGGGGGCTGTGACAACCAGAAAAGGTCAGTACAATGCAGCGTGGTCAGCTGGGAGAATGGAGGGGCCGCCCACTGAAAAATGTAGCCTTAAGTTGAAAAAGGCAAAGACATGGAGGCTGCCCGAGAGCCTCCAGGAAGGAGTGAGACCCATCTGGCCTCTAACCTTCAGAACTATAAGATAATACATGGGTTCTTTCAAGCCACCGAACCCATGGTAATTATTACAACAGAAATAACAACCTGGCAAACCCATGCTCCAAGGAAGGCACCACCACTATCGTCTGTCTGTCTGTCTGTCTGTCTGTCTATCTATATATCTATCTATCTATCTATCTATTTATTTACTATGGTTTGTGCCACAGGGTTCATGCGCTCACCAAAGAGACAAAGAGGCAGTGAGAGGGAACGTGAGAAATCATCCCCTGGGGGAACAACCCCATCAAAGTCCCTTCTCCACTATCCTCTCGGGATTTTGGGCATACACACACGCACCCAGCACAATTTTCAAGTCACTGGGTCCAGGACTTGAACCATGGTCAGTGATGTGGGAGTCAGCACTTTAACCACTATGCCACCTGCTGACCTCACCACTATTAATTTTTTGGAGAGGTTTTGCTATAGGGTGCGTGAGCTCGCCAGAAAGACAGAGAGAGACAGAAAGCGAGAAATCACCCCCCAGGGGGGATGGCCACGCCGCAATCCCTTCTCCTCCATTCTCCTCTCGGGATCTTGGGCATGCTCAAACACACACATGCCCGGCGTGAGTTTAAGCCACCTGGTCCGGGACTCGAACCATGGTCAACTACATGGGAGTCCAGCAACATAGCCAATCCGCCATCTGCTGGTCCCACCACCATTATTTTTTGAGACCAGCCTTTAGTGTGATGATCCATTTGCGAAAGAAACATTTCCTGCTTTTTTTAAAAAAAGTTTTAAAGTAATAAGTCTTTATTTTTTTCTTAGAGAAATACACGCTTATACCCAGAGAGAGACGGTCTCTGCCCACAGTCACATCCTGACAAAGCGGCCAGCACAGGTTTCACTCTGCTGCCACCCTGCTGGGTGCTCAGGAATGTCCTCCTCGGAGCCAGGGCTACAACGCGGCGCTCTGACTCATGACCCAGCACTAGTATTTGAGAAACACCTTTGTCCCTCAGCCATCTAACGCGTATCCTCCAGAAGGGACCAGGCAGGCATTGGTGGGAGGGGTGAGTACACTCAGGAGGGAACAAGGGAAGGGCCACCTGGCTGGTCCTGGGGGCCAGGAGAGGGCCTGCAGAGGAAGCAGGCACCAAGTCGAGGCCTGAAGGGTGTGTGGGAATTGGCCCCGTGTAGAATGGAAACCAGCGCCTGGGCAGCCGGGGCAGCAGCGTGGAGAGACAGCGAGAACAAACCGCTTCCGCGGGCTGGGAAGGGACAACGCGTGGCGTTCCAAAAGATGGTGGTGGGAGAGGTGGGCCTGGGGCAGCAGGCCGGGTAGGCTGAGCACGCAGCCCGTGAGCGAGGCTTGGAATCCACCTGAGTTGATGTTCGTGAACGCTCGCTACCTGGTGATAACAGGAGGCCGGGAAAGTCTCCTCGGCCTGATGCCGAGAGCAGGCCCAGGGCCAGCGTAGAAGAGGGACCCAGCAAAGACCTGTGGGTTCTGAATTCAGCGCGTGGGTCACAAAGTGTGGGCAAAAGAGGGGCCCCTCGCTCTGAAAGGGCCCAGACAGTTCACAAAGCAGGTGAAACTGACCCAGGTTTGAAGAATGAGTACAAAAAAATGGTGTGTTAAGTGTCTTATTATGTTCTTATTCTTCACCTTCTACTCCTTCTTTTCCTTCTTTTTCTTGTCCTCATCTTTGTCTTTGTCTTCTTTAAGTTTTGCTTTGGGTGCATGTACTCACCAGAGAGAAAGAGGGCAAGTGAGAAATCACCTCCCGGGGGGATGGCCATTCTGCAGTCCCTTCTGTTCCATTCCTCTCCTGGGATTTTGGGCATGCACGCACACATGCCTGGCATATTTTTCAAGCTGCTATGTGTCCGGTACTCAAACCACGCATTCAGCCATGGGGGATCCAGCTGCCTTAGCCACCACACCACCAGCTAGCCCGTTCTTCTCCATAACCTTCTATTAGCACACATTTACGATCTTTGGAATCTACCACTTTCCTAAAGACCTTCCTGCCTTCAAACTCTTGCAAATTCATACCTCTATCTCTTTATGATATGAAGCCGGACCAGCTTTCCAAGGGGTATATGGCAGAAACTATTCCTCTGCCCCCAGCATCCCTCTTTCTAGTCAACAAAGCATCAGTATTACTCAAAACAGCAAGATGCCCAGCCCTGGGGGCACTGAATCCTGATTGGCCTGTTATTCGTGACTCTTCCATCACGAATAACAGGCCAATCATGGTCACTTGCAGCTAAAGGTGGCCATGTGACCCAGCTTTGATCAACACATTCTAGTCAGTCAGAGGTAAGAGTAAGCTGGGGGCCAGCAGAGGGTGTTGTGGTTATGTCGCTAGACTCCCCCGTTGCTGACTGAGGGTAGTGTCCCAGACCCGGAGGCTTAAAAATCATGTCGAGCAGGTGCACATGCATGCCCAAGATCCCAGGAGGAGTGGAGGAGAAGGGACTATGGGATTGTGGTGTGGCCATCCTCCTGGGAGAATTTCTCACTTTCCCTCTCACTGTCTCTGTATCTCTCTCTGGTGAGCACACGTATCCTATCACAAAAACTTCTAAAAACAAAAAAGAGTAAACTAAGAGTGCTTCTGGGACATTTTTATTTTTTCATGATGAACGATATAATCATTGCTATAAAAGGATCATTCCACCCTCTTCCCCTCCTCCCCCCCCCCCCCCCCTCCCCCTCCCCCCCCCCCCACCCCATTGCCTTTCTACCTTTGTTTTTTTTTTTGTTTTGGGGTTTTTTTTTTGAGAGATTTTTGCTATAGGGAGCATGTGCTAGCCAGACAGAGACAGAGAGACAGAAAGCGAGAAGTCACCCCCCAGGGGGATGGCCACGCCACAATCCCTTCTCCTCCATTCTCCTCTCGGGTTCTTGGGCATGCACGCACACGCGCCCGGCGTGAGTTTCAAGCCACCGGGTCCAGGACGCGAACCGAGGTCGACTACGTGGGAGTCCAGCAACATAGCCATTACGCTAACTGCTGGTCCCTTTCTACCTTTGGTTACTCTTGTGGTATGTGGAGATGTGACAGCCATTTTGTAGCCATGAGGCAATCAGCAGAAGTATCAAGGGCCTACGTTGAGGGAAAGGTGCCTGGTAGCCTGGTGACGCCGTTGCGCTGCTGTTCTCACTTCAGAGTACTTGTTTCTAGGCTTCCTGTTACCTGAGATAATAGACAGCTTTATGGCTTAAGCCATTATCAGTCAGGGCTTATTGTTACTTATTGCTAAATGCATCTTAAATTACATAGCTGTTTCCAGAAAGTGAGCCACCTTTCTTCTCACCAGAATTAGGAAGCTCTGAGAGTATTAACAAAGTGGACATCTGTGCCCAACTAGTCATATAAAGATTTAAGAGAAGGTTCCTCTCATCCAAGAAGCAAACAACTTTCTTCTTTCAGTCTTCCTTCCCAGTGATGATTCTCCTCAGGTTCAGAGATGTTTTCGACTTTCACACCTCCAGATATCATCCCTGTCTTCATTGTCCTTTGCATTTGTCTACACCTTCGCTCATAGTGGCCCCTTGGGAGGGTCTAGCTTGCTTAGAAAAATTGAACTTGTCAAAAATCAGTCAGATTCTCCTTGGCAACTGCAAAGGTAAGCTGTCACCAGTCCTGTCAACAGTCACGGCAGAAAGAGAGCTATTTATTCTTCTAAGACCTTCATGAGTCACAGTCTAAACATTCTGCAAACCCTCCCCTGGCAAGTCCTCCCCTGCCCTGGTCTCTGGGGAGAGTGCTTCCCACCCAGCACCACTTCAACATGACAGACTCTCGGCTTTTGGCTGTCTAAGCTCCGGGCTGAACAAGTGGTCATGTTATTAGTGACTATGAGTCACCCCTTACGGCAGTTTATCTGGAGTGTGCCCATAAAGAGGAGGGGGCCTACGGTGTCCTGGACAAGAGGCGAGGCTTCCCTGGCCATGCCCCTGTCTCATTCTGTACCCTTTACATTCTAACCCATCCCTTGATGGAGAAGGGTTCAAACCTCTCCACTGTTGGAGCACTCTCTTTTTAAATACCCTCTTGCTTTTCTGTGGCAATGAGAACTGGAGGAACTGAACCATACCCAAGAGAGTCTACTCAGTGCTGAGGATGAGGGGGATGAGGAGAAGAGCTCTCAGCAGGACATATTTGTCTTTGTTCTAAATTTCTGCTCTGTCCCAGTGTATGCAGTAAATAGGACTACCCGCCCCCCATGGAGAAAGGAAATTCTGGAGCCATGAAGGCGTAATTCATGGGAAGTATCACTCCTTACCAGCTCCTTACAAATGTGGACTTAGTTTCCTTAGTACTTTTCCAGGAAGTCTTGTTAAGACCAATCTTGTCAAATTGTGTTTCATTCATGAGTCTTTATAACACCTACTACTTCCTTGATGAGAACACTTAAGATATTAGTAATTCAGTCACCTCTGTGGCATTGCAACATCTGCAAAAGCAGACTGTGTCTCACATCACCAGTGTCAAAAACATTCTGTGACATGTAGTAGGCACCTCAAGTAATAATCAGTAAGTGAAGTAGGGAGAATGAACTACCTTCTATAACCTTCTACAATTGACTAGATCCCAAAAATGGACTCCAGGCCCCTGGACTTGGCCTAAACTTAGACAAGAGAATGGGGACATGACTGGCCAAAAGGATGTTTCTGACATTCAATCAGTCAGTGGCCATGACAATATCAATACCTCGAGGACATGGACCAAGTCATATACTTTTCTGTCCAGAAAAGGGAATCTAATCTAATCTCAAAGTGTTTCCTAAGGTTGTTTAGCTGAGTAGACTCCCGTAGGTATGGTTCAGGGGAGCTTTCTCCAAAGCCTTGCAATCAGTGTCATGGAAAGTGGATCATGGATATCCAAGCGAAGACTCCTCGATGGGTAAGGCTATCATGCAATGGCAGGAGATGGTCAGTCTCAAGGCTCTATCCTGAAATGCCTTTAATGTTAGTAGATTGGCTACGTCTTTGAGGGACTCTTCATGGCACTCTTCAGGGGTCCTCTAGCCTAACCTCAGGAAACTTGTTCCCATGTAAAATACTAAGTCTTCCTCAGGAAAGGTGTCCAAAGCCAGTAGGACACACTAGCTCTTTGTTAGGAATGCCCCCAAGTGAGAAAAGGCAATAGCCAGCAAAATGTTCTGGTTACCACTTAGGTTACAAAGCTACCCTGGACCCTGCTAGGGACAAATAAGGGATGTGGCTGTAGGAAGCTTAGGAGCCCAACAAAAATGCTAAGAGGGAAAGCCAAAGAGTTAGACACAACTGGTGTCTAGCTCTCCTGCCTCCTGGCTATTTGACCAAAAGTTTCTCATTCCATATTCTTGAACTCTAGTTCTCTCATCTATAAAATGGGGGGAAAATAGATCCTAATATTATAGACTGGCTGTAGGTATTACGGGAGATTGTATTGTCATAGTTTGTGGCCCAGAGTAAGTGTTCAACACACACAACTCTAAAAACCATGGTCAGTTTTCACTATTTGATAGAACCCTCTGTGATGTTTGGGGTGTCAACTTGACTAGACTAAGAAATAGCTTGGAAAAAGTATTATTGTGAGTGTTTCTGGGGGGGACTGATGTGGCGTCTGGGTGGACTAGATGTAGATCTGCCCTCCTGC